GTTGCAGCAGTATATTGACAGAGAACTTCCAGAGGTGCAAGCTGGATTCAGAAGAGGACATGGAACAAGGGATATCATTGCTGGTGTCAGGTGGATCCTGGCTGAAAGCAAACAATATCAGAAAGATGTTTACTTGTGGTTTATTGACTATGCAATAGTCAATACATAGACCAGGAAGCTGTCATTCAGAAGAAGGGGATACTGCATCATTTAAAATCAGGAAGGGAGTGCATCAAGGTTGTATACTTCACCATACTTGTTCAATCTGTATGCTGAACAAATAATCTGAGAAGCCGGACTATATGAAGTAGAATGTGGGATCGGGATTGGAGGAAGACTCATTAACAACCTGAGATATGCAGATGACACAACTTTGCTTGCTGAAAGTGAGGATGATGAAGATTGAAGGCTACAGTCAGCAGTATGGATTACACCTCCATATAAAGAAAACAAAAATCCTTACAGCTGGACCAATAAGCAGCATCGCAATAAATGGAGAAAAGATGGGAGTTGTCAAAGACTTCACATTACTTTGTTCTACAATCAACACCAATGGAAGCAGTAGTCAAGACATCAGACAACATATTGCTTGGGCAAATCTGCTGCAAAAGATCTCTTTTGAGTGCTGAAGAGCAAATATGTCTCCTTGAAAACTAAGGTGTGGCTAACCCAAGCCCTGGTATTTTCAATCACCTCATATGCATGTGACAGCTGGATAATGAACAAGGAAGACTGAAGAATTGATACTTTTGAATTGTGGTGTTGCAAAAGAATACTGAAAGTACCATGGACTCCTAAAAGAACTAACAAATGAGCCCTGGAAGAAGTGCAGCTGGAATGCTCCTTGGAAGCAAGAACGGCCAGACTTCGTCTCACCTACTTTGGTCACGTTGTTAGAAGGGACCATTCCCTTGAGAAAGATACCATGCTTGGTAAAGTGGAGGGTTGACAAAAAAAGGAGAAGGCCCTCAACGAGATGAATTGACACAATAGCTGCAACTATGGGTACAATTATATCAAGGATGGTGAGGCTGGCACAGGATCGGGCAGTGTTTTTTTCTTTTGTGCCATAGGGTCGCTATGAGTCAGAAATGACTTAACAGCACCTAACAACATTACTATCATTGCTAATTAAGAAATTGGTACATTCTGAATTCTGTGTAGTTATACAAGAGAATGTAAATGAAAACAAATGACAATTTATTCTCTCAGAAAAACCACATGCAGATTTGGGGGTGTTCACTTTTAGTTTTTTAAAAACCAAATCAATGCTGTCTTCTCAGATGTGTGGCTGATTTTGTTAAGAAAGCTGAGGACTGTGTCTTACTTTCCCTTAGATAATGATGGTTGATCATTTTCTTACAGTTCCAGCAAATTTGCTGCTGTTGGCTTTCATAAAGGTCTGACATCAGAACTTGAAGCCTTGGGAAAAACTGGTATCAAAACTTCATGTCTGTGCCCAGGTTTTGTGAATACTGGGTTCACCAAAAAGCCAGACAAAAGGTGAGGTCAAAATCAAGTTAGAATAAGAATATGACATGAAAAATTGAAATGAAAGCTATATGAGAAATTTCCAGGTGGGTCAATTGAGAAAACAAACAAACAAAAAAATTACTTTTCTTTACTAATGTTATTTTGAGATATTGGTCCTATATAATACATTCAAAAGAACTAACAAATTTCTTTTTAACCTCAATCTCTCTTAAGGCTATATACATTTTGAACTACCAGCTATTTCCAGCTGGTAGTATAGTCCTAATGCATTGTGGTCCATATGAATCTGACTCATAGAGACCCTATAGGACAGTGTAGGGTTGCCTCATAGAGTTTCCAAGCTGTAATTTTTATAGAAACAGACTGCCACACCTTTCTCCAGCACAGAAGCTGGTGAGTTTGAACCACAGACCTTTCAGTTAACAACTGAGCTCTTAACCACTGCAGTATTGGGGTTCCTTAGCAGAGCCCTAGCACCTAATATATATAGCGCTTGAGCATGGGTACTTAAAATGTACACAGTACATATTTAAACACTAAAATATGATTGAGACCCCTGCTGATGACCTAATGTACAAAATAACCTCAGAAAATAGCACTCAGTCCCAGAGACACAAAACCAGATGGTGCCTGAGATATTCAAAGGAGGTCAGCCTTGAGAAAAGCAGAATCCAGTTGGTATTGATATCTTCCAGAGCTAAGAGATAAGGCTTATAGTTATAACTTAGGGCCTTCTCTTTTTCCTTCTCCTTCTCACGGGTTAAGGAGCCCTGGTCCTTGGGAATGGAATGTGTACACATAATCAAGCCCTGGTCCTTGGGAATGGAATGTGTACACATAATCATAAGCTTTAGCTCAACCCATAGGAGCTCTGGTAGCATAGTGCCTAAGGCACTTGACTGCTAACCAGAAGGCTGGCGGTTCAAACCCACCAGCCACTCCTCGGAAGGAAGGTTGGGCAATCCTACTTCCGTAGTGATACTGCCTCGGAAACCCAAGGAGGGGTCACTATGAGTTGGGGCTGTCTCGATGGCAAATAACAACAACAACAACAGCTCAACCCATATTAACCCTGTATTTGACCACTGGCGGTAGGCAGACTTATGGAATATTCCAAAACTCTGTTCCCAATTATGCATAAGTGATTAAACTATTTCTTCTCTCTTCTCTCAATTTGACTGAATTGTCTCTGCACATTGTTCCAGGCACTAATCCACATTTTTTCAGTAACACTGCCTGTTTTCTTTTCTTTTCTTTTTCCCCCATTGTGATTTGGGTGAAAGTTTACAGCAGAAATCAGTTTTCCATTCAATAGTCTATACACATTTTGTTTTGTGACATTCACTGCAATTCCCACACTGTAACAGCATTCTTCCCACTTCCTCCCTGCACCAACCCCTTCCCTTTGTCCTTCCTTCCCATCTCCTCCTGCCTTCCTAGCTCTCTCCCTGAGCAAATGCTGTCCTCTTGATCTCATATGCTTGACTGTTCTAATGAGTGCACATGGTATGACTGTTTACCATATAGTTTGGTTGAAAGTTGAATCACGGGAGTTAAGTTCATTTCCTAGTTTGAAGGATGTCTAAGAGCCATAGTCTCAGGGTTCCACCAGTCTTCATCAGACCACAAAGCCTGGTCTTTTCTATGATTTTGAGTTTTGTTCTACATTTCCCCCAACTCTATCCAGGACCTCCTATTGTGAGCTCTTTCAGAGCAGTCAGCAGTGATAGCCAGGCATCATCTAGGTCTTCTGGTCTTGGGGTCATGGAGGTTGGGGCTTACATGGCCCCTTAGTCCTTTGGGCTAATTGTTTCCTTGCATCTTTGATTTTCTCCACTCATCTGTGCTCTGGACAGGGTGAGACCAATAGTTGTACCTTAGATGGGCATTTTAAGACCCCAGTCACTACTCACCACAGTAGGACATAGAACCTTATCTTTGTGAACTGTTATGCCAACTGACCTTAGTGTTCCCAGAGACTATGGGCCTGAGCCCCCATGCCCAGCAACTCATTCCCTCAAGGTGTTTGGTTTAACTAAGAAGTTTTCATAATATTTTCACCTGTATGCGCTACTACATTCATAGATATATTTCCAGCACGTATAGATACATAGGTAGAGATATCCTCTGTCATACCTATATATATTCATGGGTATAGTCCCATTAGCCTTCCCATCCTGTTCAGACTGAATGTCTAGCTGTGTATCCACTCATTGATTGTTGTTATTACTATTTCCGCAGGATTGTGTATGTAATAGTATTCACCTTTGTTGCATTTAACTCTTGTGCTCCTCCCTGTGTCTTCCACTGCCTTGATCATTTTGTGCTGACCTCCCCCTTGTTGTACGTTTCCTCTGCCTGTTTTTATTATATAGGAAATTGGGCCCTATGAAAGTCCTTCTGGTAAACACTCAGGTTTAGTGATAAGTGTACCAGCAGACTGGTGAGAAAGGCACAATAAATAAAAAGGGTGAGAGTAGTGCAAACCCAGGTAGAACAGGTACCTGGGGGATACCTCAGGCACAGACAGTGCTAAAGATTTGGTAGTGGTTTTACCTAAACTGCTGGATTCTAAATTTCCTGAGTGAAGAGATGAGATGTCATTATGCTAATGAGACTTGGTTCAGAGAGACAGGCTTGATGAATCTAGCAGGTAGAATATTAGGGAGGGAAGAAGCAGGAAGAAATAATTTAGAAAAATATTGATGTAATAAAAATATTTCTGCTGGCTTGCCGCTAAATGCCATAGAAACCTCAAGTACATGATAATCTGTAATAAATCACAGAATCTCAGGAAAGGAAGTTTTAGCATTCCTTGCTTACCTAACTCATGTCCACATTTGTATCCTTTTATTCACTAGCCATTAATAATGCCTAAACTTATTAACTTTGGTACAATATTTTCAACCCACTTACACTTTAATTCTGTCATCACCTTGACTAATGAGGATTCTACACTGGCCCAGAGATCATGCGTACATCTCAAGAACCCACGTACATAGTCTCCAGCTAAGAGAAACCACTCCTCCAGTTGTGATGTAACATTGTCTGTGCACTTCTTGGACTCTTAATGAACTACAGTATGGGCAGGTCAGAGGAGAATCTCAAGTACTGGAAGCCCTCAGAACAACCCAACCTTATGGTGTACTACCACAAGAAAGAAAGCATAACTTGCAATAGCTTTCTCATCTTGCATCCAACAGGTGCTGAGAGATGTCAGGTGTTTCTCGCCTAGCCTATACTTAATGCTACCCACTCCTCTTTCTTGCCTGGTTCTTCTGCTCCTGTACCATCTAATTCCTTTCTACCATTTTGATATTACAACTGAATGGTCAATGAAACACAACTACTGGATATGGAAATACATGATAACAAAACATCAACAAGGCATGCATGTGTGTATTTTAGGTTGGTAGCATTTATAAATTGAACTTTGGAACATCTGAAATCCCATTTCTAAGTTTGGTAAAAACAAAAGTTACTATTTCTACCTTTGTTAATTAAAAAAAAAAATACATTTTTTAAGTACTTTTTTAATCACAGGTGGTGGCATACATTAGAGATAGATGAAGTTGTAAGAAACCTGATGGATGGAATACTTACCAATAAGAAGATGATTTTTGTTCCCACATCTCTCAATCTCTCAATAACACTAGAGAGGTAAGTGTAGTGCATGTTGTTGTTGTATGACTTTGAGTCAATTCCCACTGACCCTGTCATGGATTGAATTGTGTCCCCCCAAAATATGTGTCAACTTTCCCAGGCCATAATTCTCAGTATCATGTGATTGCCCTTCATTTTATAATCTGATGTAATTATCTTCCGTTTTGTGATGTTCTATAAATCCTAAACTCTATGGTAGCATCAGGGTGGGTTGTATCTTGAATCATAGTCTTACAAAAGAACATGACTTAGGTCACACCTTTACTCAAGCCACACTCTTGCTAGAGTCACACCTTATATTTTGTTGTTGTTGTTAGGTGCCATCAAGTTGGTTTTGACTCTGTGTACAACAGAATGAAACACTGCTCAGTCCTATGCCATTCTCATATGCTATATTTCAGCCCATTGTTGCAGCCACTGTGTCAAGCCATCTCATTGAGGATCCTCCTCTTTTTCACTGACTCTCTACTTTACCAAGCATGATGTCCTTCTCCAGGGACTGGTCCCTCCTGATAGCATGGCCAAAGTAGATGAGATGAAGTCTCACCATCCTCACTTCTAAGGAACATTAAGGCTGTACTTCTTCCAAGACAAATGTGTTCATTCTTCTGGCAGCCCATGGTATATTTTATACTCTTCTCCATCATCATAATTCAAAGGCATTTATTCTTCAACTATCATCCTTATTCATTGTTAACTTTTGCATGCATATGAGGCAATAGGAAATACCATGGCTTGGGTCAGGCACACCTTAGTCCTCAAAATGACATCTTTGCTTTTTAACACTACAGAGGTCTTTTGCAGCTGACTTGCCTGTTGCAATATGTTGAGTTCTTGACTGCTGCATCTATAGGCAATGATTGAGGATACAAGTAAAATGAACTCCTTGACAACTTCAATATTTTCTCTGTTTATAACAATGTAGCTAGTTGATCAGTTGTGATGATTTTTGTTTTCTTTATGTTAAAGTGCAATCCATACTGAAGGTTGTAGTCTTTTATATTCATCAGTAACTACTTAGTCCTCTTCACTTTCAGCAAGCAAAGTTGTATCATCTGCATGTCACAAGCTGTTAATGAATCTTCCTCCACTCCTGATGCCATGTTCATCTTCATATATTCCAGCTTCTCAGATTATTTACTCGGTATACAGATTGAATGAGTATCGTGATAGAATAAAACTCTGACACACACCTTTCCTGATTTTAGACCATGTGGTATCCTCTTGTTCTGTTCCAAAGACAGCTTCTTGGTCTATGTACGGGTTTCTCATGAGCACAATCAAGTGTTCTGAAATTCCCATACTTTGAAATGTTATCCATAATTTGTTACTATCCACACTGTCAAACATCTTTGCATAGTCAATAAAACACAGGTCAACATCTATCTGGAATTCTTTGCTTTCAGCTAAGATCCATCTAATGTGAACAATGATATTCCTCATTTCATGTCCTCTTCTGAATCCAGCTTGAATTTCTAACTGTTTTTGGTCAATGTACTGCTGCACCCATTTCTGATTCATCTTTAATTTTAATTTTACTTGCATGTAATATTAATGATACTATTCAATAATTTTCACATTCTGTTGGAAAACCTTTCTTTGGAAAGGGCAAATATATGGATGTCTTCCAGTTGGTTGAGGAGGTATCTGTCTTCCGAATTTCATGGCATAGATGAATGACCACCTCCTGCATTGCATCTGATTGTTAAAACATTTCAATTGCTATTCTTGAAGCCTTGTTTTTCACCAATTCCTTCAGTGGAGCTTAGACTTCTTTCTTTAGAACCATCAGCTCTTGATCTGAAATGGCTGAAGATTGACCTAGTCTTTGTGATATGGCCATTGTGTATTTCTTCCATATCCTTTTGATGATTCCTGCGTTGTTCAATATTTTGCCCTTAAAATCCTTCAGTACTGCACCTCAATATTTTTTCTTCAATTCTTCTACCTTGAAAAATGCTGAGCATGTTCTTCTCTTTTGGTTTTCTAACTTCAGGTCTATGCACACTTCACTATACTACTTTACTTTGTCTACTTGAGCCATCCTTTGAAATCTTCTGTTCAGCTCTTACACTTCATTAATTATTCCATTCACTTTAGCTACTCTACATTCAAGAGGAAGTTCCAAAGTCTCTTCTGACATCTATTTTGATCTTTTCTTTCTTTCTTGTCTTTTTAATGACCTTTTACTTGCTCTTTGATGTCACCTACAACTCATCTGGTCTTCAATCATTCATGTTCAATGCATCAAATCTGTTCTTTATAGGATCTCTATATTCAAGTGGTATATACTCAAAGTTGTACCTTGACTCATATGCACTTGTTTTTATTTTCTTCAGCTTCAATTTGAACTTGCATGTGAGCAACTGATGGTATGTTCTGCATTTGACCCCTGGCCTTTTTCTGACTGATGATGTTGAGGTTCTCTATCATCTCTTTCCACAGATATAGTCACATTGCTTCCTGTGTATTCCATCTGGCAAGGTCTATGTATTTTATCACTGTTTATGTTATTGAAAAAAAAAGCATTTCTAATTAATAGGTCATTT